ATATATATATATAATAAGAATTATCATTGATGTTAGAGGTGGCCATTAATTTCCCATTCAAGATCTGATTGACATTGCAGACATTCAGATATGTTCTGGGACAGTTCTTTGCCCATTGGCTAATTCAGAGCCTATTTGCTGGTGTGTATGCTGCAGAATGTTGATATATGGCAAACATGGAAGGAAAACAGATGTGGATCAGGAGAGAAAAGTACACATCAAAGAATAACTATCAAATGCTGGAGAATTATCATGGGGTCCTAGCAATTATTTCTGATTCCTGCAGAAGAATAAAAAAGAAGAATGGAGAAGGACAAGTATGTGACGTCTATATTTAAGAAGGAGAAGTTGAGGAGTTATAGACTAGTTAGTTTGACTTTTATACCCTGGAAGTTATTAGAATGAGCAATAAATCAATCTTTTTTAAGCACCTGTGGGAAAACAGGGTAATTGCTAGTAGCTGGCATAGATTTATGAAGATGACAACAGGGATAACCAACCTAGCAGACTTTTGGCAGGAAATTCTTCAAGTAGAACTGGCCAGTATTGTAGATATCATATACCTTAACTGTGTTAAAATAATTTTACACATGGATCATAGAAAAGCAAGTAGAACAAAATACCAGTTGGAAGAATTAATTGTTCATCACTGACTGTTCACAGTGGTGTGCTGGAGCCAGCTCATATTGGCTGGCAATAGCTGATAGTTAAATTTTCAGGAATTTTGTGAGCTGGTTCTTAAATCCAGTTGAATCCAAGATGGCATCCAGGAGGGTGGTCTGTTAATGCATGGAAGCTTGTGTTTTTTTGCTTTTGTTTTTCTGTCTTTTAGCATGCTTGTTCTCCTTGGGTGCCCCACATCATGGTGGTTGTGAAAGTGATCCCTCTGCCATTGTGAGGGTTGGACTTACCATTTGGGCACCCTGGTCCTCCATGAAGCCCTGAGGATGCCTGGACTATTGCTGGCCGTGTAGCTTGTGATTGGGGGCTGTGGAGGAGGTTGCAGAGCCTGAATGGGCCTGTGGAGGTTGGCAGAGACCCTGGAAGTGGCTCAAGTGGTTTAAGGGGCTGGTGATCACAGAGGCCCTGGCGGGCCAGGACCCTTAGGTGTCAGTTTTGAGAGGCCAGAAGTGGGATGCGACGCAGCTGGAGGTGAGGTGGGCAGAGTTGAGGTAGCATTGGAACTAGCAGTGGGAAGATGGCCTGGCAAGCCACTAGGTGTCTGAAGCTGGCTGGGACCCGGCCAGTGCAGTGTGAGATTACACAGGTCTCCCTTCTTTGCCTTCTCTTTCTCTCTCCCTCCCTCCCTCCCTCTCTTTTAATTATCTGGGGCCTTGCTG